CCATTTGAGGTAAAAATCCTTAAAGGTGGGTGGATATTTTGATTCTCAGCTCTAAAGTTGGGGACAAAAATACAACTCAACCATCAAAAGTTGTCACAATGAGCTAAATTCCAAGTTTAGTGTCTCAAACTCTCTCAAGCGGTAGAAAAATAATTCCCTTTCACTTAAACATGTTTAAGTAGCACAATAAATGAATCCAAAGCTTCATATCTGCAAATGATGGATAAATCCCTACCAAATCGAACAAATGTTTCCATGAATCGCCATGTTTGTTATGCAAGGACGATTGACTCACAGAATGCAACATCAGTTAACCTTGTTTACTCGTGACAGGTTTCAAAATGGTGGAACTGCATTTTGAAAGCTGGCACGTGTCATGTTGCATTCTGGGAGCCAATCCATGTTGCGGCGCATTTGGGCGACAAAATCACCTCAACATTTGAAGAGTCGGCATTAACATGTGAATATCCACTTCAACTTGGATTGCTTCTAGTTTGGCTTATAAAGTGTGTGGCCCCTTATATTTGGATGTTTCTCTGCCATGAGGTCCAAAAGCAGCTGCTGAACTTGTCTGCCAAAAAAGCAACGGGAACGGATGGTATCTCGGGAAGATTGTTAAAAATGGCAGCCCCCGAGATATCTATCCCCTTGACAACCCTTTTTAACTTTTCTCTAATGACAGGGGAAATACCTGATCAGTGGAGGAAGGCTAAAGTTACGCCAATCTATAAAGATGGCTCCAATTTGAATACTTCAAATTACAGACCAATATCTGTTCTACCAGTCTGTCTAAAAGTATTTGAAAAATTTGTACACAATCAATTATATACTTACCTGACTGACAATAATATCTTAGCTGTTCATCAGTCGGGTTTTAGGCCCAAACATTCCACGCAGACCGCACTTGTAAATGTTACTGATTATATACTTAACAACACCCAAAATGGGCTTTTAACAGGTGTAGTATATCTTGATTTGAAAAAAGCCTTTGACACCGTCGATGTAAACCTAATGCTCATGAAAATGCAAAACATCGGTGTCAGAGACAAAGAATTGTCTTGGTTCAGCAGTTATCTCATTGGTCGAAGTCAATGTGTAAGTATAAATGGCAAAGTGTCATCTTCATTACCAGTCGAGTATGGAGTACCTCAGGGCTCTGTACTCGGGCCTCTGCTTTTTATTCTATACATAAATGACCTCCAAAATCAAATTAAAGACTCCAAAGTCACTCTCTATGCAGATGACACTGCCATATTTTACCATGCCAAAGATATTCACTCTATTAAAGCAAAGTTAACAGCTGACATGAATGTGGTACACAAATCGCTGTGCTCAAATAAATTAACATTAAATGTCAAGAAGACTAAATTCATGGTGTATGGGTCATCCAAGAAACTGTCAAAGGTAGATGAAAGTGACGACATAGTCATAAATGGAGAAAAAATTAAACAAGTCGACGCTTTCAAATATCTTGGTTTGTGGTTTGATCCAACACTCACTTGGAAAACACATATAACCAAAACTTGTACAAAATTGTCACAAAGGTTAGGGGTCATTGGGAGAGTGAGAGATTCTCTTACCCTCAATACAACCAAACTTTTAATCCAATCTACCATCACACCCATTTTTGATTATGGTGATGCTGTCATCTCTGGATGCAGCTCACAACTCTTAGATAAAATTCAGAGATTCCAAAACCGTGCTGGTGGATTGATAGTTAAATGTGCCCCACGTACCCCATCCCAGGATGTTAGAAATACTCTGAAGTGGCCATCCATAAGAGAGAGGCAGGACATGCACAACCTGACACTAATGTATAAGGTAGTGAATGGACTGGTTCCCACTTATATGCAGGACAGTTTTACCTTAACTAAGGACACTCACAACTATGGTACTCGTGCTACAACTAACAAATGTATTTTTATTAAACAAAATTGTAATAATGCAGGCACACAAACTTTTAGTCACAGAGCATCTGTTCTCTGGAACAAGGCACCTTTAGATTTAAAGGAATCTGCATCAGTGCAATCTTTTAAAGTTCTTCTAAAAAAGCAATTCCTTGCTTCAATTAGTGAATAATTGTAATTTTACATGTCTTAATATGCTCAAATGTCAAGTGTGACAATAAACTTTTAATGCTTATTTTTATCGACTAGTCATATAGTATTTTTACACATATTAATGTACTGTTTTTACAAATTTCTAATTTTATGATATGTATTGTCACATATTTTATTGTTAAATGTAGTGTGTATGTGTGTCTGCAGGGTTCTAATGGAAACAAGAAAACATATGTATTTCTTATTAGATATCCCTGAATAAATAAAATCTAAATAAATAAAAAATGTTATTTTGAATAAGATTAACATGGCTGAAATTCTTCAAATTACAAGACGGCACAGGCTTATTGGACAAAAAACTAAAAAATCTGAAATATACAAATGTCATTCATGTACATTATGAATATACTTTTCCATATATTATTGCACAATGGCCTCCCAATTTCTTATTTTTGCCGTTCTACTGACGAAATGAAGCAGTGAAATGGACTCTAAACTGACAGAGATTCACAATTTGAACACTTTTGTTATTCCCTCTTGCTTCTGAAGGCAGCACGTTTTTTCCGCTACCAAGAGCGAACACTGATTGTCATTGACACAGCTGTATGTTTCGAACCCTGTTTTAACATATTGGAGTGCTACTGTAAGAAGGTCATGTCAGCATAAGACTGATAAAAAAGTAGGGAAATATTACGCCATTTTGAACTGCAAATAACTAACCTCTAGAATCGTTCTGTTTAAACATTCTTTTCCTGTACTCAGAACTCCCAAATACTCACCAAAATAGATGCGATGGATTCCTCTCTTTCCTCGTTGTAAGTTGACGAGCAATTTAATCCAAATTATGTTGCCAAAGGTAAAAAATTACCTGTTATTTGAGAATATTATGATAATGTAGACAAGTAGGTCAAAATATGGTGCATGCTGGGTAATGTCGGGCAAAGATGTAGATCACAAGAGGTCAATCTATCCCATCATTCAGGCCACCAGAATTAAAAAAATCTCAATGCTTGTTTAATTTGTGACGCATATAATTTACATTCTGCAAGTTTATACTGCTGAAATGAATTTCTACTTTAGTTTAAGGTACTTTTGTAACTTTTGACAAAATTAAGAATAAAGAAAGGTTTCTGGGACATTGCTCAATATCAGTCAAGGTTATTGTACCCTAAGATGATCAACAACCAGAGCTCTTGATAGACTTGATACACCCTAAAACAATCTTTCCACAATTGAACACTTGAGCAAGACAACCAAGAGAAAACGCAATATACATGTTCCTGGAATGAAAACGCCAAAGACAGCACTTCTTATACAATATGCCAGCAAGAAATGTCAATCAGTTCAAATACAAGTTGGATGACCTTTGGTACAACCACCCTCTGAATCTCAATTGGGAACATAAACTTCAATTGTGAAATAATAGCTTGATGCAATAGCAATAGCACATGAACCCCAATGTTTAGCACAACCAATAAACAAATCGCATCCTAGGTCGCAATGTAAAGTGGCACAATTGAGCTACACATACTTATTTATCGATATATAGCACAGTCAGAGGGTGAATACACAAGAATAGATAAATGAGGGTCATCATTACTTGATTATAGGTTTCTGGGGTAGGCTGCATCATCATCAATATATATTATTTCTATCGACCTTTGTCTATGGAAAATATCCCAGAATTCCAGGCCCGTATCCAGGGGGGTTTCGCAAGAACTCCCCCCTCCTTGGCCAAAAATTCTTTCAAAATCATGCAGCTTTTCACCATTTTGAGCACTTCTCAAGTGATTTTAGCCATATTTGGGCCAAAGTTGTCAAATGTGAACTCCTGGAAATTTTTGAAAACTGGACCTTGGCAAATCCTGGCTACGGGCCTGAATTCATACATGAACCTATCGAAGATCCTCTAGAAGTTCCTCTTTACATATGAAAATATATTCATCTATGGATTCTTGGGAACCCCTCCTCCTCGTAATCTACAGAAAAGCATTTTTTATACTTTTTAATAATTTATTTCTGGTTTCAACATGTAAAATATAATAATGCAAATATATTTCAGTTGAAAAAAATGCAAGTGCAAATATACATACGATATATGTATATGGTTTTTATGTTTATACTCGTATAATATGATTGGCAGTGTGAGAACATTCCTTGTATCAATATTATAAGAGGACGAAATGACTACCCAGAATTCAAACATCTCTTCATATGGAGATAGGTTCAACAATGAATTCTGGGTATTTCCTCCTTTTACTAATTTATGATCACGAGAATAAGAATTCTTCCTTGAATGTAATACATATTAGAACTTTATCTAAACTGCTAACTTCATATACATCAACTACTCAATGTTATTCGCATTCAATATGCTGCATATAATAATAGCAGACTTTATACAAAATGGTGATAATCTGTTGTGACACTCGAATCACAAGCCAAATCTTAGGTTTAATTTTGGATTTTGTCACATAACTTAGAAACAAGATATCTAAAGGCATAATAGATAGTGAACATGTTTTACTAAAATTCATATAAATATTACTAAAGTTTACTGAAAAAAAATTACAATTAGCGGTCTCAAATACGTATGACATTACGTAATGATTACTACTAGATATAGTATGTATTCTGACACTGAACAAGTTCTATGTATTGTAATTATATTTCTTTAAATAAGTGACACTCACTCATGATTCATATCTTATATATGTAAGACACTAGAGATGTGAAATTTCAGTACAATATCCAAAATTATTCCCTAATTAATGTGATATTTTCAGGCTATCATGTCAAGAAATAAGTACATAACACAGAGTGGACAGAATCGCACCCTTTAATAGAATACAATTTTTGGGACGGAAAATCCATAATGGCCACCTTAACATTTACATAGAATGCTCAAAAATTGATCAGTTCTAAACTATACTAGGTAGAAACATCCCTGAAAATTTCAGATGACTCCCTCAAACTGTTTGGCTGGAAACCTGTAGGCACATTTATCAAGACACCTCCCTGCTTAACTGTCCACCCGGCAAACTGATCACAATATAGCACCAAAGGATGCGATAAAAATAGTAATTTTGCAACCAATGACAAAATATCTTATTTTGGCAAACTCACTTTATTTTGTACAGTTTTTAACTGAGATACGACATCATATTCAACAGTTATCAAAAGAGTTTTGCTACTTGACACACAATGACCCTTACAGTTAATTACAATGATTACAAATGACAGATACAAATGATTTCAATAATTTACACAACAGCTATTCCTAAATGCAAAAATAGAATACTCTTTAACATATGAAAATAAATAATCTCAACATAGAAATGTGTGGATATTTTTTTCTTCAGAAAGTAAACAGTTAAATATGTTCATGTTTTACCTATACAAATAACCTTAAAAAGATGACTTGCAATTTGTTGATAAGCCCTACCCAAATTTGAGGCAGAATACAGATGTATCAAGTTTAAGTAAATCTTGTACATAATATCAAGTCTACTGTTAATGAATACATATATGTGCAAAATTAAAATGAGCTTAGGATTAACAAAAGTGAATGAACATTATACAGGTCAGATCTGTACAAAATCAATGGTTAATCATTTCCTCTTCATTTCTTTATGTGGTAATTCTCGAGTCATCCACTTCAAAAAGCATGTCTTTGAAGAGAACAGTGACTGTCAACAGATCATTCTTGCTAGTGACTTCTTTATTAGAATGTCTGCATGTAAAACTGTTGCATAAATCATACTCATGATTTACATTAATTTACAATTAGACAAGTGAACTAAAATTTGCCCACTGCCCAGTTTTGAGGATTTCTTCAATTGTATAAATTATCTCACAATGTCAGAAATTCTGTGTTGCAGAAGATTTCAGCTATTGTTTAAATGATCTAACAATGTCTCTAGTTCTAATGTGTCTCTTAGGTAGGTCACCAAACATCTCAGTGGAGCTTTCATGTACACTCCTGGCCATAGCTTTGATACTGGCTGCCATGTCTTCAGGCACCTACAACATAATTAATCAATGTACACTCCTGGACAAAAATAGCCTTCATAACCTGTGAAGCAATCATAAAGTTAAGAATTTCAGACATTTGTAGGAATTTTCTTAATATTAAGATTGTCATTGCAATGTACTTCAAAATATTCTTTCGCAGCCAACATTAATTCATGGTTTCAGAAAGAATATAAAACACATACTGTTGAAGACTATAGTTTTGTGATTCTAATTTTAAAAACATTTTAACTACGATCTGAAAAATGAATATTGAGACAAACCTCTTCGTCGGGATACTCTGTGGTAGAGTTCCTGGCTTTTCTCAACATAGCCCAGTCAGTTGGTACGGAGATAGGCACAGATGTGGAGAAGTTTACATGGCCTGGTTGGTTGACTCTTGGTTCATCACTGTAGCTATCAGTTAAGCTACTATTATCATCAGTATCATTGTCGTCGGAACCATCAAAGGCATAGATTTCATCTTCAAAACCCTCAAGAGCAAAAACAGCTGGAAATAGTTATTTATAAATCAGATAGATATGAATTCAATAAGTTATTTACATTACATTACAAAATGTCACTATTTGGTAAGTCATTGCAAATGTTTACAAAAGTGTCACAGTTTGTTACAGACGTATGTTTACACCAACTGCCAGCCACCAATTACTGCCAATTACAGACAACACATAAATTGATAACTATCGCACCGGAAGAGCAAAATGTCCGAATAACCCAACATGCCCAAAAGTTCTTGCCAATTGCCAGCATTTTCAAAGAGAAGAATCCCTTTTATCTTGATGTTGATGACAAGATCTGTTGTGCCAATTTTACCTACGACCGACCAGCACAAGATAATGACAATGTAGCACTTTTCATGTGGCTATAACAATATACCACCTCTTTGTGGCGACATAGAAATGATATATTTGAATACATGTTCAAGTCCTCTTGCTAATATTTACCTTCTCAGTTACATGCTGACATTTGTCTCACATTTTATACACCATGGTGAAATATGAACTATTAATCATAGTAAATTAAGTAACGCACACTGGTTCTATAAGGCAATAACCAACCTCAGCATGTAATTTGTCATCTTCTAGATTAATATCCAATGCATTCCATGAACTTGATGTTTTAAACTTTCTATTCCAATTTTCTTTAGGTGACTATGAGAAAAGTTGGTCACTTACCATCAGCGTCTGGACTTGCTGTAGGCTTATTGGCAAGGAAAGACGTCGCCTCATGAGATCTAGCACCATAGTTAGCCTGAAATTCACATTAATACTTTTCTAATGATTGAGATTCCATCCGGTTATTTTCACAAGATTGCAACATACCCCCAAAAATGTGTAAAATATTTATATATTATAAGTATTTATTTCTCAAATCACCCCTTATAGGGTATATACAAAAAACAAACTTAACCAATACAGTAACAAACATTAAAATAACATTTATACAGTATAATAACAATTTTGTATCCAGAAAATAAAAATCTTGGAGGAACAAGCTTAGTTATAAAATCTATTTCTGTGTCACAAGCATTTTAAAATTATATCTAACTAACTAAGGGAGCATTTCAAATGATCAATGTTGGAAAATTAACTGTATTTGAACAGCAAGGAGGGAAGGGGGTCATAAAGTTAGCTTTCTGACATCGTTCCCGGGAATCTAATATTTTCATTCAGTACACTGGAAAAGAACGCGAACCCAGTGAAATAAAATTATAATTCGAAAAACACCAATATAGTGAGACTTTCAAGTAACGCATATCAATATTTCTCAAACACAGTTATGAGGGGGAGGGGGAGGGGGTCATAGATTAACTGATCAAATACATTAAGTAATCCTATATTGAACTTTTGAGATGGACCCTATCTTTCCTGGGATTTGACAATTTAGTAAATATACATAAACTCTCAAGACAAAATCTTTTACTTTTTTTCTTATCTTAACTTACTAATCTTCCTGGGAAAGCAGGACTAGAAATGCTTCCTTTGAAACTTCCTGTATTTGGCGATGACTGGTTGGAATCCTTCTCTGGGGACTTCACGCCAAATCTGTCATTTGCGGGGGACATCAGGTCAGACATGGCATGAGACAATGTTGTTTGGATAGTTATGTCTTGGTTTGCAAGAGCCAATCTGAAGAAGTGATGCACTTTAATGGTTAAAACATTGCTGATGCATCTCAATACACTACAATACTGTCATCAACCTATGTGTATTCAAAGCTGAGAATCACTTGATTTTGAAACTCTATTCACACCTGCTAGGCAGCATGAAACACTATATCAAATAGTATTCTATATTTTGAACCAGACTTTTAGATTCAACAATGATATTGTCATCAATTCCATAGGCAGCTGTGCTGAGTTAAAACTATAAGCACTATCAGAACGAATAGCAAGACAGGTGCTTATGCAAGTCAAATCATAAGGTAAAACCTTAAAAAAACAAATGTTTCCTTGCAAAAAATTCATTATTTTTCTTTTTAATGATACTGTTCAAAATGTTTTGCAATGTGTGAAAGGCAATTTAACATATGACTCAATGAATTGTTGATGATTTAATGCACTCATGCCGTGTGTCATATACTTTGAATTTAGGTAATTGCACTCATTCAAAGTCTTGATACGAGACATTTGTGGTTTAAAATATAAATTATCCATCATTCAATGAGCCCTGGGCTTAAATCAAAATGCCATTTAAGTTATTTAATGAGATTATAAAGATCTTATCAGTGCAAAAACTGCATTGCACTCAGAGGCTAGAACCGTTATGCCAGCCTTTTGTGTTACCCAGGGTACTCTCTCCACAGAATGATGCATAGAGACATGATAGGTATTAGAATATGAGTTACCTAGCCATTGTATTCTTCTCTTGTTTAGCTCTGCTCTTCAATGTATTATAAACAGCACGTTGTTCCTCTTCAAAGTGTCTGGAATAAAGCAATGTTATACACTCACTAAATAACATCAGATTTTCCAAAAGATCATCAAATCATTTGGTATTAATCAATCACATTTTTGTCTTAACCTCTAAAGTAATTGCAGCAATTTTAAAGTAGAGTTACCATATGTCATCACAAATACATTAATGCCATTCTTTAATATTAGATAACTGTAGCAACTTTGAATAAATCTCTCCAAATTAGAGCATCTGTAGCTTTACCCTTTTGACACCTTATAATGTTAATTTTACCTTATTCTGTCTTCCATTGCAGTTTCTTCTTGTATAAGGTATGTATTAAGCACATGTTGTATGGTAGTCAGACTATGTTGGAGAGATTCATATCTGCTGTCACTTAATGCTGCAAAATAAATAAAACAGTAATTATCGTTATTTTTCATTCTTCTGATTGGTCAAAAGTGATCATAGATTGACCCCGCAATTCAGAAATTCAAAACCGTCACAGTAATTATAACCTCTAGATATAACCTCATTCTTAAACTGAAAACATTTAAATTTTTAACATGTTAATTGATTGTTCAAATCATGAATTCAACATATTTCAACTGAGATGAAAGAATTATTGAGAAACTATGTAGATCAACAACATTGATTGTTTCAGAATTTAAACATCTTTGGCAATTTGTAACAATGTTCAAAACTTTTCATAGTTTTCTACAATTAATAAGTGTCTCCCTGAGTCCCTACTGCACTTTTCAATCCAAACAATTCCATATCTTAAGGTTTCATACAATTAATTCAAACATTACAGTAAATCTCACAATGAGGTCAGGTACAAGAAACTTAATATTTCAAATATGTAATAACAATGATTTCCCATATTATACTTTTTAGTCAGGTTTGCATTATAGTACAACAGATTTGATTGGTTACTCACGAATTGATCTGATTGGCTGGGTGTCCTCTTCAGTCCTCTTCTGCAGAACAATCTTGTAGAGTGGGGAATAGTCTGATGACGTCATTAGTCTTTCTATTATAGCCGGATCACTCTACAAGGAGAAATGTTTCATAATAGAAACTACTGTTGAGAAGTCTATTTTTGATGAAAAACTGAATCAAATCTGAGTGAGGATGCTTTTTTCAATAATATAGTCAATACATTAGAATTCAAAAGAAGTGGACTGATATTGACAATAAAAAATGAGGCAAACATTATTTGTATATAAACCAATATTGCATACATACTTCCAGTATGTACAGTGATCTCCCCAGCATTAAAGAAAGTGGGCACAACACCCACCTGAGATTTTGAAAATCAGGCTTGCACCCACCTGAAAATCCACTGCACCCACTCGAAAATGAGAAAAATCATGAAAAATTGGCAAATTTTGACCAATTTTGTTCTGAATTGTGAAAATGATAATTTTGCACCCACCTTGGAAAAAATTCCTGGGGAGATCACTGATGTACCAAAAGTGTCAAGTTACTAAGTTAGAAATGAATGGACGGTTTCTAAAATATATCAATTATTATTCAAATGAAAACCAAAAAGTAGCTGTTATGTCGTGGCCTTCATTGGGAGTAAATGTATTTGCAATTCAGATTGGTCACCTGTATTTCGACTGACCTAATATGATTAGGTAAGGCTATATGTAAAGATAATTTCTTAGTGAAAGATTGTAGATTAAGCTCACTTTTAAAAGTGATACTATTAAAAAGGGTACAAATCACTCACCTTGAGAGCATTGTTGACAAGGACAATTCCAGATCTGACTCTGGCCTGTACAGCGTGTGTGAACATATCACAATTGGAACAGCTGGAAACCCTCCAGTCCCCACATTCTTCTGTCTTCACCAAGAATCCATGCTCCTAGAACATGTAGAGTATTTTTGAGAGCCAAGTACAGTATATATAATGTTAAAATACTTTTTAACTAGATAACGGCAACTCTGCGGAGTAGCAAATCCCAACGAACAAAATATCAATTAGCGAATTCCAATCAATTATACTCATAACTTTGGTTAAAATTGAAAAAATTAGATTTTAGAATTGTGAATTCCTGCAAAGCAGCCATTTTGAATTTTCTGAGATACAAATCTGAAAAATAATACCATAATTGTGACCTTCTCCAAAATTCCTTCAATTTGAGTATAATATTGCCATACTTTGAAGGGATCGAAAAATTATTACGAAATCGTACAATAGACGGCCATTTTGAATTTTACAAGGCTCGAATCAGAAAAAAGATACAATATTTGCAATCTACTCTTAATTGTCTTTCATTTGAGTATAATAAAGCTATACTTAAGAAAGATCTAAAAATTAGCGAAAATTTTTCTTTTTCTGTCCCCCCATACACGGCCCCTGGGGGTCAGGATAAAAAACATGGAATATATGTGAAATAGACAAATGTTGTGAATATACTACCAAAATTTCAAACAATAATATTAATTACTTTGGTTCAGAATGAAAAATTTATGATTTTTGCGAAAAAGTCCCATCATTTTTAAAGCGGTGGCCATCTTGAAAAAAAAATTTGTGAGTAAAACTATTTTCCAATATACATCTTTCCATTAAATATGAAGAAAATCCGTCTACTAGTATTTGAGTTATCTTCCGGACAGACGGACGGACTGACTGACGGACGGACGGACAGACGGATGGACGGACGGAGGGCTTCACTGTATCCCTACCGAACTTTGTTTGTTGGGATAAATATAGTCATAATATAAATACATTCATATTAAAGAAATAGATTATCAATTAACCGTATAATAAAAAGACACATACATGTACTACGATGTCATGGATTTGATACTGTAGATTGGGTTAATTTGGCGCTACTTAATTTGGCGATTTTGCCATTTTTGGCATATTGGCGGCTATTTAATTTGGCGGATATGCAAAAAAATGTTTGGCTATGTTCTTTTTTTCTTTTGAGAACCACTGGCGATATTCAACACGTTTGTACATTTTTGTGAGATCATCCTTTACATTTTGCACCTTGATCGATGCTGCTACCATACCACGCTTTTCCTTTCTAGTTTTTCCCTGAGTATTAATGAGTGACTGACCAGTTCTGAGCCAATTTATGAGAGACAGTTCATATTTTTGGAAAAAACTAAACCGGAAGTGACCTAAATACACTGGACGAAATACCCTAGACAATTCCCCGGGATTCATTCTAAATTTTGGCGAAGATTTATATTGGCGAATTTTTCAGTTTCGCCAAATTCGCCAAATTAAAGCGGGCGCCAAATTAACCCAATCTACAGTATTTGAAACAAGCTTGTCAAAATGACATGTCATAAAATCTGACTGATGCCCTATATTGGAAGTTTCAAGTTTCGATAGCTTTCGAGAGCTTTCGATATAAGTTATTTGGAATATGCAAACTTGAACTTGTCCAGCACCGGGAGGAACTCTGGAAACGAAGATAAGGTGCTTTCATCCTTCAAATCACAACAAAATATTTGGTAAGTATGTAGTTTGTGAATTCCGGTTTCAAAATATAATAATACAACTTAAAAATGAATTCGGCCATTGCTGGGATATTGACAAATCAATGCACTCATTTAGGAAACAAGGAAAAGTTTTCTAATGAAATGTACTTTCCTGGTTTCTTTGCGAAACCTTCCTCCCCAGTGGTGTTTACGTCATTTAAAAGTTAAACTTACAGTATAGGTTGACTGAAAACTTATATATCGATGACGAAAGCCCTCTAATATTAGGCAGAGAATTGAGAAAATTTGTCTATCCTCAGTAGATCTGTGGCTAATTTTTGTCTTTTAATTTCAAAGTTGGGGTAGTAATAAAAAGGGGGGGGGGGGTTGTACCTGTGTGATTCCTGCTAAGTCAAGGATTGCCTGACAAACATCTTCTTTGAAGAAATCATGAGCCTTCAAGTGAGCATCTGCATCTGAATATAGAGTCAATAATTTAGCTACATTAATGAATATTCACATGCACTCATATGAAACAATTGAATATGCCGCCGGTATGTATATTATTACAAAAATTATTTATTCAACATGCATTAGTGTTGGGAGTGTATTTTTAGTGGATGTAAAGCTTAATATTTGAGCAAATCTGTAACGAATATGTGCTTAATCAAAATAATTATGTTTTCATACAAGTTAACTTTAGAGAGGTTCTATTATTCTTCTGTCCCATTTCTTTAATGCAAATATTGTTTAGTGTTCTATAGTCTAATGATCCTAAAGTTTAGTATGAGAGGCAAAATAAAACTTTACAGCCAAAGAGGATACAATACATCTCACTCCCAGCATTCTCCAAAGGATTTTCTTTCAAGTGCGTGCAAGATACTTATTTTCACAATTCAGACTGAGATGGTCAAAATATGCCCATTTTTCATGATTTTTCTCATTTTCAAGTAAAGTAGGTGCTAATGGATTTTCAGGTGGGTATCATCCTCCGATCAAAGGACTTCAAAATTCAGAATATCTTCTTTCTTTTTACCCCCTGCTATAACCAAGTTGGAAACGCCCGATTAAACTGAATCACGTGATCCAATTATGCGCCGATGACGTATACATGATTGTTGTTGCAGTGTTGCGAATCAAATTGCCAGTTCTTAATCGGGGAAATGCTAACTGCTTATAGCAGGGGGGAAGGAGGTATGGCTTCTGGACACCTGCTTAGGAGGATGGTGGGTATAAGCTTGTTTTTAAAATCTGGGTGGTATGCCCACTTGCTTTAATACTGTGGAGAACAAGTAGGATTATGACCTTCACAGTTATGACATGCCTCACAGCTTGCTTTGGCCATGATTCTCATCAAATGTATAACGCTCATTATACATGATTCTGTGTGGATATATCAGTACACTGGTCACTTACCAAAGTTATTTAAGTCTAAAGGTTGTGATTCTGCTTGCTTGATATGGATCTTTATATTGAGACATGCACAGGTTAACTTGCCCATCATAGGATACCACCTGAAAATACAAAACAACATTTATTATGTATTAAATTATATTTATTAATCAATGACCAAATACTTTAAGTCTAAACCATAGTCTTTCTTCATTGTCTCTGGACCTCCTTATCTATTACACCAGGGGAGGTATGGGCTCACATAGGCTTGCAGCTAGACTATGTCAACCATGTACTGTTTATATCAGTAATATATTTCTAATTCTTATATGGATCAAGGGCTTATTATACCCGGGCCTTAGTATGTGTATCAAACGAAATGAAACGACATCGTCATCAGGGGCTATGCAAGTCCTCATTACAAAGTAGTGGTTAAAGGGGTAAGACTAAGGCACCTTTTTCAGCACCGTTTTGCAGTAAGTATACTCTATTTCATTACGATCCATTTACATCGTTAGCTACATAATTGATTAACTTATGATAACGTACATGTATAATATTAACCAAACCCGTCTGGCCCAGTTATCTACTCCTGACGTAGATCTGGGCCAGACTCGATCCAATGCAAAAAATGGGGTATTTACTCCGGAAAAAACACACTGGTTTTTCAATGTATAATACGTGCTGATAAATGAATAAACATCATAAAAATCACTTACGTGTTTGTTCCTTGTATCAAACTTTGTATTTATATTAGGTTTCCATCGCTGGATGACGGCTAATAAATAAGAACGAAACGTCTAAACGCAGCAAAAAGAAAAATTCTTCTGCAATCTGTTCGTGATCTCGTAGAATATCGAGAAGTCTCGGCTGCTTATTTCGTTCAGTACTACATTCCGTCAGTTCAACAAATTGAAAAATCGTATTTAATGTCCACCATATTTCTTTCCAGTTTAAATACAACACAGGCACGTCTGTTTTATAAAGTAATCTACGTTTTGATAACAAATCTGCTGAACAAATCGTAATATTTGGAATGTATTGATTCCCGGGAAATGTATTTTCGTTCCATGAAAGTTTAAAAATTATCGCGTCACACTCGTGTTACGTCACATCACGTGACTTTATTCGGTGCGGAGAACTGACGAAATATTGACGAAATGTTGTGCCCATTTCAACATCAATATAACAAACAAAACACCACATTTACGCGTAAGTTATGTTCTCTTTATTTCAAATAAATACTTGGGTTTACATGGTACCCGATGTTTTGGTTGGATGGCTAATAGGGAATGAATTATAAGTGATGATTCAGCAGTGTGTGTTTTTCCGGAGTAAATACCCCCTTTTTTGCATTGGACCTAGTCTGGCCCTAGATCTACGACAATACAGAATCGGGAGTAGATTACTGGGCCAGACGGGTTTGGTTAGTATAATATGTAAATGAGGGCTAATGCGAACAGAAAAAACAGGGAAAGGTATTGAAGTGGCGATTGTGTTTTCTGCTTACCAGAATACCAGTGTTACCCAGCTCTATTGTGGGATATAAGGTGACCTGATTATGCAGATGAGAAGACCCCATTGGTTTCCCAGCAGGACAATCAAAACAGACGGGGACAATCTTCTTTTACCTATTGTTTCTTAGCGTTTCACATTCAGCTCTGGACTTCATGTCCAAAGGGGGTAAAAACACTAATAAATACAAAGTTCACCCCTCTATTTCTAACAGCTGAATGCAGAATACATTAAAATTGCGAGCGAGGCACGCTTCGGGTATTACGTTCGCCCTTGGATGGATATTGTGCAATATTGCAACAGCGTTTGTATTGCACAGCTGTTGGGTATCAAGAAATTGTCCAACAAAAGGAACAAGCAACATCTACTTACCCCTATCATGCAAATTGTAAATATTAGAATTTTTGCAAAATGAGAGTGGAAATTTCCAGGACCCTAGAAATGAATCCCAGCTGATTTTTAGGAGGTCAATTTTGAAACATTGCCATTTTCGATTTATTTCGGAGATGATATAAGCAAAACATAAATCAAATACATACCTTATACTTTAGTGTTCGTGAAGATGTATAATCATGTGAATAATAAGTGATAATTGCCCCAAAAACAGTCGATGAAGGCCAAGCTTTATCTCCTCAAAGTTTCCAAGATGATGTCATGTGACCTAGATATTTGCTAGCTTTGTATAATTATCAAAAATGCAGACTTCTGAAAAAGATTAAGCCTTCATATGAAATGATAATAATAATTTATAAAATTGTTATGATTTATATTTAAGTGTACAATCACAATACGATAAGTTTGGATCTTGTGAATAAATACACTTAGTTCGAAAATATAATTCGTATTCAAACTTACAAATCAGAAATGGCTGCGCTAAATTTTCGAAATTGGTAAAATATTATTTATGACTTTATTTGATGTTATTTCGCATGTTTTGTGCGATATGGAGTTTTCTACATTTAATGTGATAGAATGTAGATAATTGACTGGATTAATCTCTAAGGTAGGAGGAAGTGTAGAATGTCATTCGACTTTTTTTCAAAGTTCAAAGTCAACTTCTTGTTTCGTCATAGTTGATGCATCCCTCTAGATGCACCTGTAGGGTCTTTATTTATAAATCTGATATAGAGGATGACTCTGATGTAAGTCAAAACTAAGAGTCCAACTCATCAGAGCTGTCTAGTTTCGTCACAGTCAGTACGGGCCGTCTAACTGTCCTGCGATTTGCGTATTTGTCACACATTTGCTGGAAAATTTGAAGTCACGCCAGATATTTTTGCGTGACAGAATATGTCACACAAATACGCATTTTACCTGATTATTGTCAAGCAAAAATATTCCTGTAGAAAAACTTCAAAAAAGTGATCACCAATACAGCACAGAACCGAACGCCAAAAAAATGAACACATTTTGTTCGGACTTCAAAATATTTCGTACCTGTAAGTTCTTCTCTCTAAGTTCAATAAGGTGATAATTTTCTATTTGTAATTTTGTCATATCAAACCGTGGGCTTATGATTAAACATATGAAATGATTGCAGACCTGTTCCAATATTGTAAAACTATATCAGGATCGCCATGACACAGGAACTTGATCAACAGATGGAACTTGCACCGACAGATAGTTGAATTCAACAAAACATTCAAAAACAGACCTGCCAGACAGTTTTTCGAAATTTGCCATTTTGACTAATCAAATTGCAGCATTTTGAACCACATCCACTTTTTTTGCCGGATACTCCAGATTACATTATTGAATTTAGAGATAAGACAGTACAGATAATGATTTGGGCTTGCATGCTGACTGTGACTTCCATAGTAAGGTCCATGTGCGGTATGACAAATGATTTTAGACGGTCATATATTTAACTATGAATATTGAATGGGCATAAATACAGTGGTTTTTATTATGGCCTTTTAATGCCGCTAAATGCAAAGTAATGCACCTTGGACATGGAAATGATCAACATAAATATACCATGAATGACCAGATCTTGGATATCACCAAAACTGAAAAGGACCTTGGAGTCAATATCGACAATAATCTCAAGTTCCACCAACACGTTGACCTATCAGTCTCTAAAGCCAATAGCATCCTTGGAATAATAAAAAGAACTTTCTCCCATCTGGACAAAACAATCCTCCCTCTTCTCTACAAATCACTTGTAAGACCCCACTTGGAATACGCAAACAGCGTATGGAATCCTCACCACAACATGGATATTGACAAGCTAGAAAAGGTCCAAAGACGAGCGACAAAACTTGTACCAGAAATTAAGGACATGAATTATGGGGATAGGTTAAGATACCTGAAACTACCATCACTCCTGTACAGAAGGAGACGAGGGGATCTCATCCAAACCTACAAAATCATAAAAGGTCTTGACAGGATTAATATCACTGACATTGCTGAAAAATCTGAAGCTCATAGAACCAGAGGAAACACTGAGAAGCTCAATACAAGATACAGTAGACTGAATGTCAGGAAGAATGTTTTCGGAAACAGAATTGTGAAAGACTGGAACAATCTCCCACAGACTGCAATAGATGCTGACAATGTCAACCAGTTCAAGGCGCAAATTGACAAACACTTCCATAACCTAAAGTACCACTACAACTAGATGACAGCCCCTTTAACCCATGTCCAGTGAGCTTTCAAGAAAACAACCCCCACCCCACCTTTTTCCCACTTAGTAAGACCTTACATATAACAAGATCTGGATAATATAGGATTCTTCCTTCTTCCAGAAGAAATGGTATACAGGTATACAGGTATAAAACAATATGTTTTCTTTCAAGTGAAAACCCATGATGATAAAAATATCAATCGAACAATTCGAAAATTTATGAATAGGGATGTCATGTCAACATTTTTTCAAAATTTTTGACATATTTACTCAAAAGAGGATCTTTTTCTGTTTTTTTATTGCATGAAAAGATTATTCAACAAGGGGTCTAAAACTTCTTCAAAAGTAGAATGGTATTGAAAGTCTAGTGTGAAGATATCAATTTTTGATGACCAAAATTATGCTGAAAACAATGGATAGCATGAGTTTTCCCTATGTGAAAATAACATGGGATATGTGGTTTTTAACTTAAACAGATTTCAATACGCATCCCCTTTACAGAAATTGTTAATATAGTTTAGAAGAATATTTCGATATGTTTAAATTGAGAAAAACAAGATCCTCTTTTTAGAAATTGAGTCTTAACATTTTTAAAAAAGTGCCAAGATGGGGACCTAATCCATAATTTTTCAGAGAGTTAGATTGATATTTTACTATCATAGGGACTTCACTTGAAAGAAAACATATTGTTTTAATAAAAACCACTGTATTGATGGCCATAAAGTACCCATTTTGAGAGATAAGACTGTCTAAAATCACTTGCCATACTGCACATGGACCTTTGACACCACCTTCTAATTTGCCTCACTAAACTTTTACTGTTTCTCAAACAAAATCTCTCAAAATCAGGAAATTAGTGTGATATCCAGGGAAAATTTTGTAGGGAATTTCAAACAAAAAAAATATTGAGTGACAACTTAACTTCCTCCGAGTGTAATTGAGCAAGTTTAATTAAGATGAATGTGGTCAATTTAGGACTAATTAATTAAATGAAAAGCAGCCTACAAAAAATAGCCCAACTCATCAGAGCCTGGGCCATCCTTATATTTTTATGTCTAAATTTTTTTGATAAAGTAACATTATTTTTAATTTGTTTTTACCTCACCGCCAAAAGTGGTGACATACATATGCATTGTTATGGTCTCCTTTTTTTGTGACGGCAGACAGCGCTTGGCGTCGTCATCTGGCGTCTGTAACAAATTCTAAAAACTTCCAATAACTTAACAAATATACTGTTTAGACTGACTTCAATTTTAAATCATCTACAAGTTCTCAGAAGTTCAAATCTGATAGATTTGACTTCAACGACTTTCTCGAGGTCAAAAAGGTTTTTTCCAACGTGCTTCAAATTGAAAAAAAAATTCAAAATCATCTACAAGTTCTCAGAAGTTCAAATCTGACATTAGATTTGACCTTCAATGACCTTCTCAAGGTGTTATTTGTGTAGACATAGAGAAGAATTATAAAAAAGTATGTATTGTTTGAAAGTGGAAGATTTTAACTACTCAGTCGGTACTGTCATTAAACCTTTAAAAAATCGTTAATAATCGTACACACTAGAGGTGTCAAGTATTAACCGGTTAACCGGTTAACCGCCGATAATGCCTTGACCGGTCTGTGTTTTTATGGGCGGTTAGTTGACCGTGTATAATTCTGTGATTTCCCGCGCTTATTTTGCATGCTAATCCGTTTGGTTTTATGGTGTCAGTTTCACGTAAGCTACTCATACATGTCATAAGTCCTATAACTCCTTACAAACATCCAATCAGCAACTTTAATCCCTGCCATATTGCTTTCCCGCGCTTACTTTGCATTTTAATCTGTTTGTTTTTCAAGCGTCAGTTTCATGTGAGCTACTCATACATGTGATAGGTCCGATAATTCCTTACAAACATCCAATCAGCAACTTTAATCCCTGCCACATTGCTTTCCCGCGCTTACTTACATAGAATAGAGTAAAGCTTGACGAACGTAAAAAAAACGCCGATATATCATTTTTTCCAATTTGTTTCAACTTTCAAGATCGAAAATGAAGATTTCACTTGAAATTATCAGTTCAAATTTCCCGCCGGTTAACCGACTTTAACCGGTAAAACCCCCCGGTTAACCGGTTAATGCTCAAGCGGTTAATTGACACCACTAGTACACACCATATTTGGTTGTTTTGGTTTACATTGCGTACTAAAGATTTACTTTTCTTTTGGAACTGTACCATTGGATTTACCATTCATTTTTTACTATTTTTTGTCATGACTTTAAAAGTTATTTTAGAGATCTTTTGAAAAAAGTTGTCAGCTTTTCATTTCTCAAATATTCAAATTTCCCGCCATTTTTCAAAAAAAGTTGACATTTTTAATCATCAAATAGTTAGTTTTAAAGAAATTCATGATTTTTGGAACAAAAAGTCCTTCAAAAACCACTTTTTGAAATTAAAATAAATTCATATATTTGGATAGGATCGTCTTTTCCAAACTAGATTCCGCTAGATTTTTGTCTATCACTTCATCTAAGCAAGGTGAATGGGGGAATTTCTAAATATATAGAACTACCATTTGATTTCATTTGTTTATGTGTATGTCAAAAAGTGACATATACGAAATCCTTCTTTCACTGTTCCTGTGGTTAATAATGGTTTCATCTTTAGAAAATACTTAACACCATAGGATCAGCATAAGAGAAAAATAATATATCATTTATATAATTATTTAAATATTGTTTCATTGTATTTCCAGTGCATGGGAACATTTTAAAGATCAACAGTACTCCTAGACTCCTGCAGCTTCCAATCAAAGTGACTTTAGGTTCAATATGTTTCTGAAAACAATACTATAGTTGAGGATGTAAGCAGTGACAAATCAATTCTCAAGATACATTGAAAGACAAAAAAATAGAATAATCAGGTAATTTAAAATCTAAAGAATATGAATCGTATATCAGAGAATGATATGAATCAAGCTAATGATGAACCAATTATCAAAAAGGAAATTGAGGAATCATTTGATGGGAAAAAGACCTGATAGGATCAGCCATAATAATGTTAAATAAGAATTAGATCATACAAGAGGTGGTAATAAATGGA